CGCGTATCCATAACTCCTTTTCTTTCAGAGTCATAGATTAAGTTCAAATTCATGCTTGTGAAAATAAGAATTCTTGCATAATCAGATTTATATGAAATTGTTACAACTCTGGGAATTTTTGTCAAAATGACTCTCTCAAGCACCTGTTTGAAAGACAACAAAGTCGGCAGATGGCTGTCCAGCCAGACTGTTTCCTCCTCTCGCCCAATGCAACAATAATTACAATTTTGGTAAAACCAAATTGTCTGCACGCTACTTTGGCGTCATTCAACACCCAGTAATGAGCACACACTGTTCCTCATGGACCTTTGTGATAGACGTTTACAACACCCCCAACATATCCCTTGCCGAAGTCGTGTGGTTGAAGTTCAAATTTTAGTTTCAAAGTAATAGTTGAAAAGCGAGACAAGTAATTTTATTTTTTGTTGAATATATATTAAATTACAATCACTTCATGGAAAAAATATCTATAATATGTAATGTATCCATTATGTCAATTCCTTTGTGGTCTCAGGTCTTATATTATTCGGATGCAAGAGGTAATGTTTGGGGAGATACAAGTCTACTACAATGGTCAATGGGGTACAGTGTGTAGAGATTACTGGGGTTTGGATGACGCCAAGGTTGCATGTCGACAACTTGGTTATACCAAAGCTGTAAATAACTGGTGTTGTGGACGAGGAGAAGGACTAGTATGGCTGGACGACATGCAATGTACAGGCTCTGAGGCCACACTTGGGGACTGTACTCACGCTGGATGGGGAGTTGTGAGCTCCAACTGCAACAGTCACACTAGAGATGTTTTTGCATATTAGAATTAATCTAGCACCCGCATTGTTTATTTGACAAGGAAAAACCAAGTTGTCGACATGCAGCTTTGGCGTCATTACAGTAACAGCTATCATCACACAGTTCCCTACTTTCCGCCGTGGTACACTTGAACGAATACCATTAAAACTCATCGCCCAAAGACAAACTTGGGGTTGGCTGCCAGGAGGTAAGCTCGACGCGCGATCTCGTCTACCTTAAGGAGGTGGCCATGGCAACCCTCCCAACGACCACCAGACTCCACGGGACATGGATAGGAGGGACTATGGGCAGAGTGAACAAGGGACCTTCAGCCAACTACCGAACCCCAAGCACCAATATAGCAATTAAAAAAGATAAGTTCAAAGCTAATTTGGTTAAGGCTTAAGAGAAATCAAGGCTTTCACAGCGCACAAAGAGGAGTGTCACCTGCCGATATGGATGAAGCAATCCCTGCGAAAAGGATCGGTTTTGATAGCTTTTATCTTTAAACGCAAACACGACGGTGTCAAAGTCGAATCCACTGCTAGGTCGTCCACCGCTAGGCGAATTAACAAAGAGAAGGACGACAAATTTGTCACTCTAAACTCTAGAAAACACCTCGACCACAGAAGTACCCTAGACTCCGTTTGGACCGCAATTATGTTTTCCCTTGTCATAGCTAGCTCTTCATGAATATCCAGTTTATTTGATCATGTGATATACACTTGGTACGTCAGTGCGGTGTACAACGCGAAGAACATTCTTTGTTGTAGTTCTCTTCCTTAAATGCTTGGTTTCATTAGTTTCTGTACTTCAGTGTGTTCTATGGCATTTTAATCGACTTTTGGCCTAGCGTACTTGCACCTCTGTGGTCTGGTTGAGGTGTTTTCTTCGTTGTTGGGATTCACTAATGTACTTTATTGACATAAGACGGACTTGTTTGAGTTTGCCGTGCAATTTCTTGCTGACCTACACCATCATTCTATAAATCTAGTTTTCGTTGGCGAAACAGATAGGTCTTTCCCGGCTTTTACCTTATATCCCTCCTTTGCTATTTAGTCGTAGCTGTGCATCAGTTAGTATGTATAAGCAATAAATAAGCATGTATTCATATGAATATCAAATATAAATCAGAAATAGTATCAATATACTCCATAAGCTTAAAAAACAACAAAAACTAGGATAACTTCAGATAAATCGGGATAACTTCAGTAACAAAGTTGTCAAAAAGGTGTCAAAAAGATATCAAAACCTTGTGCAAGTGTTCACAGTAGTATGGCGCGTAGTCTTAAAGTGAAACTCATAAATCTGAACCTTTCTTGCTCTCCATATCTGCAGTTTTGTTGAAACCGAGCCTGGCAATTTTCCTTACCAGAACTTGTGCTGGTAGGTTCTTTTTACCGCATGCTAAAATCAGATAATAACATTCACTAGTTAGTGCAATAATTGATGCAAGTGTAACCAGAACTCCCCACAATATAATCATTTTTTTGAACATTGCTGTTGGAGCTCACAATTATCTATCCAGCGTAATTGTAATCCTGGAGTGAGGCCGTTATCACATACTGTTCCCCTTTACCTTAGTGGTAAACTTGTACAAAACCATACACACGACCCCTTCTCCGATTCGACTCGATACTCTTAGCTTTATATATTTTTACATTTTATTTCATTTTAAGCAAAAAATAAGAGAAAACGACGTTTCAGTTATTCATAGGTCTATAACTTAGTGACTGCTTGTCTGGTTCGTATGAATGAATTTGATATTGAATTTAGAATACGAAAAGGATTACATTACAAAAGAGCGTAGGGTTTTTTACTTTTACCCTCGCACGAAAACTCTTTAACACCTAAAATTTTTTGTCCCGCTTTATATTCTTTTATACTAACGTATACAACATATTGTATATATGTTGAGCTAATTTAATCCTTTGAGTAAAAAATATTGGCTTTTGCCTATAAAATGTCATGTCTTTATTCATGTCTGCAGAAATTACAAACATTACTCATAACCACGAAATTCTGGCATAGATCCACAGTGAGATGTTTTTGAAAACTCTATTTCGAAAATGAAAATCAATTACTGTCTTGATTTTGTTCAATTAAGGGCTTTTCTGCGCTTAAATAGTTTATGAATGCAGTATTGTGTGTTAGAAAAAGTTCGAATTGTTCACCAGCATTGAAAACAATATGAAATAAAGTGAACTTGAACTTGAGCATCTTGAGTGTGACCGTTGCAGTTCGAGCTAACAACTCCCCATCCAGGGTGAGGACAGTCCCCAAGTGAGGTCTCTGATCCTGTACACGCCATGTCGTCCAGCAAGACGGCTCCTTGCTCCCCATGTCTATCGTGCCAATAAACTACAGATTTCGTAAAACCAAGCTGCCTACATGCAACCTTGGCTTCTTCCCAGTACCAGCCATCATCACACACCGTTCCCCACTTTCTACCATCGTACACTTGAACTATACCAGTAACACCAAGTAATTATATCCATTTGGTAGTCACTATCAAATCCTGCAATCTGATTGGTTAAGAATGATGTTGTTAAATCATTAACTGCACTATTACTTCAAATTGCACTATTTTGTCAATAGTCAACCAGTCTGACGATGCCTTAAATAATGTTCTATTGTTTAATTTTCTTCACCACATAAAGAGCATAAGGGTCTTCTTTCAGTTTATAAAATCTGACTAAATCTTTGTTCAAATATAAGCAATTCATTAATATTTGATATTCAAAGCATGGCAATTTTCGTTGCGAGGTTGGCGGAGAAAAAAGCTTGTTTAGGGACCAGTTATTAATTAGAGGGGAGGAGCTAGTGCAATTGGGGGTAGGGTCATTATTTTTTTATCTAAACTCAAAGGGAGGGCCAGAAAATTTTGTGCAAGTCTTTAGGGGAGGGTCAACATTTGTTGTGCGTAGTGTCAAGGCAAAAGGAGTGTATGATGATAATAATAATAATGATAATAATAATAATAATAATAATAATAATAAT